CCAGGCTGGCCTTGAACTCATACCACCCCGCCACTGTGCAAATTACCAGCAAATGCAAATTCCTCTGTGACCCATTTTGGTGCCTAGGTATTGCAGCTGGAATCTAGCTTTTACCTTTGTCTCTTATCTCTCTTCTGTCCCTTTCTCGTTTTATACCTAATCAGTACTAGGTCCTATCTCCCTGTTACCGTAGAGTTCTGTACATATAGTCCCTGTTACCATAGAGTTCTGTACTTTGTTTAATGACATACCCTTTTTAGACAAGTATCATATCTATTCTCTCATCTGTGGTTCCTAGATTGCATATATAGATACATAAAATTATCCTGTGAATGTGATGTGAAAGTAGAAGCAAAACTACTTAGTGGGACAAAGGGTACTGATGGGGGAAGGGTGTGCTCAACACATAATATATACTTGTACAAAAACTAGAAAAGTGAACTGGTAGTGGTGGCGCACGCCTTTAATCCTAACAGTTGGAAAGCAGAGGCAGGTGGATCTCTGTGAGTTTGAGGCCAGCCTGGTCTACAGAATTAGTTCCAGATAGCCAGGGTCACACAGAGAAACCCTGTCTTGAAACAAACAAAAAAAAGTGAAAGAAAAGGAAACTCTTTTTAAACAATGTGGACGGCAGCTAATACACTCATGTTGTTTCTGTGTTGTAGTGGCAGAGACTTGCTACAGTGTGACAATGTGTTCTCTCTCTCTCTGTCTCTCTCTCTGTCTCTGTGTGTGTGTGTGTGTGTGTGTGTGTGTGTGTGTGTGATATGTTTCTTCTGGGGTTAGTTACAAATCTCAGGTGGAAAGATGGTACCTTTATATATTCCTTACTTTTCAGAGTACTTTATGTCTAGTAAGAATCATTAATTCTTTTTTTTTTTTAATTGGGGGGAGTTAAGACAGGGTTTCTCTGTGTAGCCCTGGGTGTCCTGTAACTCGCTCTGTAGACCAGGCTGGTCTCAAACTCAGATACCCACCTCTCTGCCTCCTGAGCTGGAATTAAAGGCTTGTGTCACCACTGCCTGGGGAATCTTTGATCTTAAATGAACGTATCTGAAAGTATTTAAAAGCAAGCTTAGTTTTAGACATTTCATGAGTCTGAAAGGTTAACAGTTACTGTGTTAGTCAGGCTTGGAGCCTAACACCTGTGACCCTAGCCCTCAGGGAATTGAAGTGGGAGGGATCACACATTCAAGGCTAGCCTAGGCTACCTAGCAAGACTGTCTCAAAATAAAAACAAACAAAAAAGAAATGTGTAGTAGTAATGGAGATTCAGATCTGAAACAGTTGTTGTCTAGGAGGGAGTGTCAGACGAAACATATTAATACCATTTTGAAATTTAGTTAAGCAGCTCTTGAAAAGTTTCATAAACTTTAAAACCTTTCAAATGAATAAAAACATCACACAGTAATGAGATCCAGAGTCTCACTCTACAGTTTAACTATTGTACAGTGTGAATAGGCTGGGAATGTACACCATGGATCTTTACATTCAGTTTTGCAGTTTTTTCTTCTCAAGACAGGGTTTCTCTGTGGCTTTGGAGCCTGTCCTGGAACTCACTCTGTAGACAAGGCTGGCCTCAAACTCACAGAGATCCACCTGTCTCTGCCTCCTAGGTACTAGGATCAAAGGCATACACCACCACCACCTAGCTCCTAAATTTTACATTTTTAATATAGAATATATTTTATGCACTTATCCATTAAAAAAAGCCCATGGAAGTTTTAGAACTAGAAAAACAGTCAACTTTGTGTCCTCTTTGATCACTCTTGCTCATTTCCTGCAGTCAGTCCTTCCTTATAGTTCTGTCTTCATGTTAAACCGTACCTGCGTGTGCACACGTACAAATACCACTTAAGTTATTATTTCATTGTGAATATATCTTGGGGGTATTGCACATGCATGCTGGTGCCTGAGAAGGCCAGAGGCATTGGATCCCCCAGACTAGAGTTAAAAGCAATTGTTAACCACAATTGCTGGGAACAGAACTCCTGACCACCGGGAGAGCAGTAAGTGCTCTTATCCACCAAGCCATCCCTCCAGCCGCCTTCACCAGCTGTTTTCATAGACAGCTTCCATCCAATTCCAAGGACACGGTACGCCGAAGAGATGAGAGATGTACCCGGTCCGCTAAGCAGTGGGCTACTGCAGCACGGAAGGTAACTTCTTCACAGTTCAGTCTGCAGGGTCTGGTTCTTATCACCTGGCTAGTAGAACATAAAAGAGCGCATGATAAAATCTGTTAGGTAGTGTTTTCCTCAATTCAGAACCAGATTGTCTGAATAGTAAAGGTTCGTTAAATGTGTACAAAAATGTCTATACTTCTAATGAGAGTGAAGCATGAGCCCTGGAGGATCACACACAGGGTCACAGGCTTTCATCAGACATTTCCTAAGAGGTGCTTGAGACCAGCAATGTTTCAGGTTGGGAGGTTTCAGATTTTGGTGTATGCTTGTGGCTTTACTGGTGATATCCCTTAATCCCTTTGGATTTGGGATTTTTTAATTGGGGGGTGCTAGCTTGTTTAAGGAGTTAGCGGGGAGCTGCATGCCTGTCATCCCCACACTTGGGAGACAGAGGCAGGGGAGTCAGGAGTCTAAGGTCATCCTTGGCTGCATAGTGACTCTGAAATCAGTCTGGGCTACAGGGAGATGATGTTTTCCAAAACAAAACATTTGAGTTCCACAACATCTTCCAATGGCCACCAGGTAACACAGTTGTTCCACGTGAATAGAGCCACCTGCCTCTGCCTCCCAAGTGCTGGGATTAAAGGCATGCGCCACCACCACCCAGCTATGATAATTTTTTTTTACATTTTTTATTGATACTTATTGAGCTCTATATTTTTGTCTGCTCCCCTCCTGCCTCTCCCCTCCCCCCTCCCACCTTCAACCCTCCCCCAAAGTCCCCATGCTCCCATTTTACTCAGGAGATCTTATCTTTTTCTACTTTTTACTTCCCATGTAGATTAGATCTATGTAAGTCTCTCTTAGTGTCACATTGTTGTCTAAGTTCTCTGGGATTGTGATTTGTAGACTGGCTTTCTTTTATGATACATTTTTTTTTTTTTTTTTTTTTTTTTTTTTGT